CGGATGCCGCACCACGGCATAAGCTCACTTGGCACTTTGTGCCAGGTGAGCTAAATATTGGGAGAGAGTTCCTGTATGATGTAATGTGAATGTATCAATACATCCACCAGATAAGAAAATGTTGTTGCGAGAAAGTGAGGTGGACTTCTCTGTATGGGGTCTATTCTTCGACATCAAGAGCATTTCAAAAAGTCTTAACACACATCTGCTATACTCATACTTGCCAACTTTTCAAAATGTCTGCATGCACAAAATTAAAACCTGAATAGGTGTGTATATAATATCCCATAGAGACAAAATAACCCTTCATATGACATATTTTGAGTTGTTCTTTCAGATGAAATAATTAGATTGAAATTAGATAAAAAAGAAGAAGTCCATAATTGAAAGTCATCCCCTAAATAGGGAGAGTTACGTTGGAAAGTATGTGTAGCAGAACTGAACTGGGTCAATCATCAACGACCAGATAGCTCAATTGGTAGAGCGTCCATCTAAAGTTTGGAGGGACTCCCAGGTTCGAACCACGGTCTGGCCATTGCATATCCTTTTCCTAGCTGTTACATATATGTTTACCAGAGACATATAAAGTCAGTTTGTAGAATAATATGTCTCTGTGTATATTACAATAATGTTACTAAGTGTCACAGCACACAAAAACATACAAGTTAGGTGACTGGTGTGCTGTGACCCATGTGTTGGTACACATTTGTAACAAAACCCTGTGCTTCAATTATATAAACCATTATATTGGGGGCATTTTTACTAAGTGGTTATTTAAACACTAACATGCCTCGTATTACTCTCTATACAACTACAGTAAAATTATCAGGGGCCAGGGGGGAATTATTGCTTTTCCACCCTCTCTCCGGACCTTCGACAAAGTTATCAATAATCATGCTGATAATAACGATTCTAATAATGCAACTTTCCTACTATCTTCTCTCCCTGATATGAATTACTTTATATACACCGGGACAGTTCCCAACATACATAAAGTACAGTAAAATTACCAGGGGCCAGGGGGAAATGTTGGTTTTCCACCCTCTCCCCGGACCTTCGGCAAAGTGATCATGCTGATCATAGCGATTCTAATAACGCAACTTTCCTACTATCTTCTCTCCCTGATATAAGTTACATTCTACAATAATATGCATTGGTGTATCATTAAGTTCTTAAAATGAACTACAAAATACCTTCAACTTGACCTGTCAATTTTTGTTTACATCTATGTTGAAATCGCTTTCCTGTAAAACATTCTGGTGACTAACACCAAGTCTCGCTATAATCCCAAACGTTGTCATGTGATCATGGCTTCCAATTATGCTGAACGAGCAATTTCCCGCCATTATCAGTTTGGCGCCAGTTAGTTTATTTCACGGCACAGAAAAGAAGCAGGGCACGGAGAGGGAAAGGTTGAAAGTCTAATCCGTGTCATCGCTTTTAACACCGACAGATAACTTCAATATTGCACAACTAAATATTGTGTTAATATATTTTTAAATTGTAAGTGCTTAATTGTTTTGGAAAATGTTTGAGGCAAGACTTGCTCAAGGCTCTCTTTGGAAGAAAATTTTAGACGCCATTAAAGACTTACTTACGGAAGCAATATGGGACTGCAACAGCACTGGAATAGCATTGCAGGCTATGGACAGTTCGCATGTCAGCCTTGTTTCTCTCAACCTTCGTTCAGATGGCTTCGAAACTTACCGATGTGATAGAAACCTGTCCATGGGCATGAATCTTGCGAGGTTAGTACACACGGAAAATGTCCCCAAGTCCATTGCATTGGTAATGTAACTTGTCGTTTAAAGATGCAATTCCGGCAATAGCGATTCAAAGTAACGTGATAAATTATATGTTGTGATTAAATTAATCGAGCTTTTGTTTATTTACTTGAATATTTCTTATCCTTATGGATTCAATGCATCAACTTTCGCTTTGTCTGATCACATCAGATTTCCCGCGCAATATTTGTGTGAAGATGACCAACTTTCAAAACAATGAAGAAATGTTTTTTTTGCAAAGTACTGAATACAGTAATATGTCAGAGGAAACACTTGACTTTTTATATTTACGGAAATAATTTTGTCGTGATAAAAATTGTTCAATAACAACAAAGGTTTTTCTGTGATTTGTTTTCAGCATGTCCAAAATCCTAAAATGTTCTGGAAATGATGATATAATCACAATCAAGGCTGAGGACAACCCAGACACAGCAATGTTTATCTTCGAGTCTGCAAGTGAGTTTGTATATAAGGTGAAAAATATATTCAAAAAGGTATGCCATTACCTGAAAGGTAGCTGCAATAACGTAGCTTTCTGACGAGATTTTTTTTATATATTGCGCGGTACTATGTCAACTTGTGGAGCAAAAGTGTTAATCTGTGAGATAACATATAATTCACGCCTAGAGTATAATGTTATCAAAATATTGCATAATTGTTGAAAAAACGAATGGTTTGCATTTGCATTGCTTGGTCAAATATAGTATTATTACTGATGCTGCCATGTTAAATGCACATTCCATATTAGGTCACGACACCCATTAGTACTAATAATAATACCTGGCCTCCTCTGTCCCGGCCGGGTATTAGATTGATCCCATGCCTTGTAATGGATTAAGCCCGGTGTGAATCACACCGGGGCGATTTTAGAATTAATTGACAGCACATTGGTCTGCATTCATAAATAAGGTTGTAGTATGAACTATTTCCTTTGATATCCTGCACAACTTGAAGTTTAACTCTGCCTAAAATGTCGTTAAATTATCAAGTTAATGTAGCAAGCGTAATCGAAATCTGAATTGACCGCCATGTTGGAAAGTTCGTCTCACTTCCTAAATACGTCGGACATCCAAATATGGGTGTCATGACCCAATATGGAAATTGTAGTAAACACGGCGGCATCAGTAGTAATACTATATTTGGCCATGCAGGCCATATATAGAAAGGATAATTGAGATAACATCGTGCGTGATCTGTCATGGCGGTCGTTTCTATTTTCTTCCCTAAGACGGACTTTGTTAACTTTGTAAAAGAGTTTTTGCATGGGTAAGGATTCGTTTTTTCAACAATTATGCAATATTTTGATAACATTATAATCATATGAGGCGTGAATTATATGCAATCTTACTAGTATTTATATTATGAACCAGTGTCTGGATATGGAACCATGTGCTGTCAATTAGTTCTAAAATAACCTGTGATTCACATAGGGCTTGCTCCTACAAGGTATAGGATCAATTTAATACCCGACCAGTGCAAAAGAGGCCAGGCATTCATATTGGTACACCAACGGATGAGCAGCTCTAGTTAGTGGTTTAAGGCCAAGGTACTCGAAAGCTGTTGCCTGGTATGCAGTATATAGTCTTTTGATGGCTATAAGTACCTGCTGTGATATTAAAGATGTAGACGCAAGATCCTGTTGGAAGCTCATCCCATGGCAAAAAGAATCTAGGTGTTTCAGGGCTCGGGCTCTCGGTAGCCATAGACTTTTTCTTTTTAATTTGCTACGACTCGAAGGTTCGGTCCTTAAACCACCCCAATATTGGTGTAAACCTTGGCTTTTGCCGAAGTCCATTCTGTTTCTATTTAGTTATACCTCTGGAATCTGCCGATACCCTTAATTTCAGTTTTAAATATGATTGAACTTGGCTAATCAACACCAGGCATATCGGGATTGTTCTTGCAATAATGCTAATAAAAGGAGTATGTCACTTTAAAGTCCTGTAATGAAAGTTTATTAAATATTGCTAATTATTTCTTGCATACAAAATAAAAGTATATATCTGGACTGAATTGTCGTAAAACTAGATCTGAACATTTTAACAAGAGTTTTGCAGTTAAAAAAATTGTTGAAAACAAAGCAAGACAGCTATTCAAACAGGTTGAAATTTTCGGTATATTTCAGAATTTTAGAAAGTTTAATTTTTCTATAGCAAGTATTAAAAAAAGAGTTTCAGCTGTTTTGCCAACATGCCTGTTTCCACCTTATTAAAGCAACTTGTGAATAATGTAACATGAAATTGATCTATTCACAGATAATGAAAAGGTATCTGATTATGCCATGAAGTTGCTTGATTTGGACACAGAACAATTGGGCATTCCTGTAAGTATAATTATTCAAATGGAAGAAAATGCTACTTAGGGATTGATTAATATTTTTGACTAACCTACTTCCTTTTTGAAAGGGGGGGGGGGGGATGCTATTTAAATGATGATATTTATATGTATTTATTCTCGACCAACATTGATAAAATATTTTATTTATATCATGTCTGAACATTATATTTGAAGTAGCAGAATTTACTTGGGATGAAGGAGATCATTCTGAGACAGATTTGACTCTTAGAAACAAATAGTAAATAATAAATTTGGAAATATGTAAATTCTGTAACATGGTCAGCTTAGTATAAGGGAAATAACTTTATGCATAACAAAAGATAACTGTTGCACAATACACTTGTTTATAATTTCATAACAAATTACATGTTGTGATGTTATCTAGGACACGGAATACAGCTGTGTTGTGAAGCTTCCTTCAGCAGAATTCCAGAGAATTTGCAGAGATTTGAGTCAAATTGGAGAATCCATTATTGTCTGTTGTACAAAAGAAGGTGTGAAATTCTCGGCGAGTGGTGACTTGGGCACAGGTATGAAGGAGAGGTTTTCTTTCCATTGGTGTGGAGAATTGATATTTTATAGATATATACTTGAGACAAAAAAGCAGTTTGATCCTTCAGATTAGCAGATTTATATAGTTGTCTATTTTTAGGTTTTCAAGTAATGCCCAAGTTTACTATATCTTGAAAGAAATTTTTACTTTATTGAAAGTTGGGATTCAACACGCACCTGGTTATGTTCTCGGACTTTAGTTTCCAGGGCATTTCTTCAAAGCAGTTCAATTTCAATGCTAAACTTCATAAATGTATTGAGCTGAAGACCTGTTTGTAGCCTTTACCTGTTTTAATGTTAAGATCTAGAGCCTGTTAGGATATAAGTAGTCCAAGCACATCGATACTTTCCAGGACATTTCTAGAGAAGTTTAAAATATATTACAAATAAACCTGATGGGACACTTCTTTTGCACTTGCTTTTATGTTGGTTGTGATAGAGAATGTTTCTTTTATCCCCTGGTCTCGCCGTAATGGGGGATATTAATTTGGGTTTGTCTGTCTGTCGCGCTTTGTTTCCATGCAATAACTACAACAAATGTTAATTGATTTTCTTTAAACTTATTCACAGGTTTAAATGACTTGAGGGCTTGGCAGAGTATTATGACCACTTTCAGAGGACCCCATTAAGCAAAGTTATGGCCCCTTAAATAACGAAAAACATCATTCTGGTCTGCGTTTCGTTTCTGTGCAATAACTTCATCAAATGTTCTTCAAACTTATTATCAGATTGTCTCCAAACTTCGTAACGGGGTTCAACGCATTAAGAGTTAAGCAAAGTTTGACAACCACTTTAATCAAGACTCCATTTGGCAGAGTTATGGGCCATTGATTAACGAAAAACATCATTATCTGCAGTTTCCGCTTAACAACTCGGCAAATATTAGCCAAACTCCTTCAAACTTGATAACAATGTTTGTGTTCCTCTGCCTCTCCACCCATCTCGGGCACTTTTTGGATTTTGTGTGATAATAACCAAATTCTGTATGCACATCCGACTCGTGCTAAGTTTGCCAACCAATGTGATGTGTACATATTTATCAATGAGGTATAGGTGTTGTTTTTTCTTAAAGTTTCAAGCTATACATTGTCTCAACAAACCTAATCTCAATCATGTTAACCTACAAGCGTGGGATATAAATTCCACGAATTTGCTTGTTTATTAAAATGTCAATGGAAATTATTCTTTCTATTTGCACAGGTAATGTGAAACTGGCACAGAACTGCAGTGCAGATAAAGAAGAGGAAAACGTGACTATAGAGATGAATGATGCTGTTACTTTGACTTTCGCACTTCGTTACCTGAACTTCTTCACAAAAGCCACTGCATTGTCACCTCAAGTGACTTTGTCAATGTCACAAGATGTACCTTTAGGTATGTACAATTCTGTACTGTATGATCACTGGCGATTATAATCCTCAATTGAAATTGTTTTATATTCATCCCCAGTTTGAAAGAAGTCAACAGGTTTATAGAATTGACTGTCCCTTCCCAATTATTCTTTTTCGTGTAACAAAATTGCATAATTGCGACTTGCTGACCTTTGACCTCAGATCGGAAATAATTTTTTGAACATACTGCATATTGTCGCTATTTATGTATTTACTTCGATATATAATGTCGAATGTTGTAACTATATATATTGGTTGAATGGTTTGAATGATACAGGAGACAAGCATATTAATGCCTAGTGTGCTGCTGAATATCCGATACAATATATGTTGATAGATGTTATTTTTGCATGTTTCAAATAATCAACTTTATATTCGAGGACTTTCAATAATATATATCATATCTATGCATTTAAATGAATGTTTTTAGCTCAAAGATGCAATTGAAATATCGCATACTGTGTGATACAATTGTAATTTTTCTTTCAGTTATGAAAAAGAAGCTCATTCTTGCGATGCTGCTATACTGAAATGTTCGGTTTTCTTTTTTCAGTCGTGGAATACAAAATAGCGGACATGGGCTACCTCAGATTTTATCTCGCTCCAAAGATTGAGGACCAAGAGGAATCGTGAATGGAACGGAAAAGGACTGTGATTATTTTTGTGTTGGGGGGAATTTGGACAAAATTTTGAACTACTGCATTTTCTATTTATATTGAATAGTATAAAAAAACAACTGGATACAATCATGAAAGCAAAAAAAATATTCTGTTGTGATAGTTTGTGAAGACATCTCGTTGATGAACTTTCTAGCTAAGTAATGGGATGGTGAATGTGCAACAATGTTATTGTTGCACATATTACATTGTTGCATCATAAACTATAAACACTGCGAAGGTTTCATCTGATTTGTAGTGTTGGAATTTTGACTTGTAATTTTGTTGTTCGTTGTTGCCAGTCTAGACTCATTGTACTTGTTTAGTGTATTAACAAGTGAAATTAATAAATAAATATGTATTATATCGAAAGCATTTTGTTTTCTGTTATATTTGTTTTCAAGGAAGAAGATGTTCGGAGAGATTTGATGATGCTGGAGTCGTCAAAGTGGTTTTGATGTGTGTAAATGATTCATATCACAGCCAGCTTTGATGAGCTCTTGTACGCATCACCATCTACAAGCATCTTGGCTGTAATCTTTGAATTGAGGAATTGCAACATTAAAAGGTACTAATGAAATAAAAAGAAGCAAGGTCTTGGTTACAAGTGTTTTTCCTTGTATTTATCAATGTGTTGACTAATTAGGTAGTTAACTCCTATTGTCAAGCTTAATGATACCTGTACAACTGCCAAAATTACAGTATTGGAAAGTGTTTTTGGTGCACATGGTGAAGTTTCAAAATTGTAACAATTGTGACATGATCAAGATTCCCACCCTATTACTATGTATACAATTGTTGAGCAACAAGAAGCAAACACAATCATGGTGCAAAAACGGACTCTGGAGTCTGACCACACCCCTGGGGACTTGAATCTTGCATCATAACTCTGAAATGGTCGAGATACCTATTCCATAGCTATTTATACCATTGCTGGGCATCAACTTCCAAGTGAGCAATATAGGCTCTCTGGGTTTTGTCATCTTTTTAGCCACCATCATCCAATTGGGGGGCTATTCAAATCACCCGTGGTCCGTCCTTAAACAATTCTTGTTGTTACACCTCAAGTGAATTTCTAGCTATTTGATTGGTTGGGAGAAAATTGAACAAAAATCTCTGTCACCCTCTGAAAATACATTAGTTTTAAGGGGCGCGGGTGATATTACCATGAGACTGAAAAATATCACGTGCGAAAAATGTGCGTTTACCGCTTCACAAGACATTTGACGGCAACGGACAATTTTATCAAGCGCCGGTGCGATAGCGATTGTAAACGGCAGACTATCAAAGAACAAGATGTCATTATCGAGGTTTGCTGCCGTTTCTGAGCTACAAAGACCTTTGGTGTAACAAAATAGATATGACATACATTAGCAGGTGACCGTGAATATTGTCAACCCTCAAAAACCCATTGTCACCCTCTGCTTCGCCTCGCAGGAACTTTCTTGGATTGGATATTTAGGTTTCCTATGGTCCTTTATTAGTTCCCTACCGGTGAAACCGGGGGGACTATAGGTTTTGTCTGCGTCCGTCTGTTGCCAAAATCTGCAGGTTTGGGTTAAAGTTTTGTAATGGCTTACCATTTGCTTAATAATAATGCTAGTTTGCTGATTCTTAGCATAGAGGTTCTTAAGGGGTCTAGCATTAATGCTGTGGATTGAAAATGGAAAAGAATTTTATTTTTTGGGAATTATTGACATGTTTTGGACTTTAAACTATCCTGGCCTAAAGTTTAGTAATGGCTCGCTGTTCACTTAATAAGTGTTAGGATGCTGATTTTATGTACAGAGGTTTTTTAGGGATCTAGCATTAATGCTGTGGATTGAAAATAGAAAATATTTTTTATTTTTTTGGGGAATTTTTGACATGCTTTGGACTTTTAACTATCCTGGCCTAAAGTTGGGGTAAAAGTTTTGTAATGGCTCACCGTTAACTTTATAATATTGTTAGGATGCTAATTTTATGGACAAAGGTTCTTTAGGGGTCTAGCATTAATGTTGTTTAGTGAAGTGGATAAATAATTCTCGTTTTGATTTTTGACATGATTTGGACATAACTATCTTGGCCAAAATCTGAAGGTTTAAGTTTGGGGGGGCCGGTAGGGGACATGTATTGATTCATCAATACACACAGAATGCTTGTTATGAATGTTTTATTTTGGATTTTGACATTGAAGGGTTTCTAAGTGTGATTTTTCGGGAAGTACTTTGATCTTTCGCAAATTTCATATGTAGGTTCTCCTTGATCCTAAGCTTTGCATGTTTATTTTTGAGAGTGATCATAAAAACAAGATGGACGACGAATGTCGCAGATCTTTCGCAAATTGCAATAATTTTTCTTAACCATTAAGTACTGTACTAGAAAATATGTGAAACGATTGACTCGCATTGAAGGTTGTCTTTTATACACAGCAGTATAAAGTTTAAATCAAAATTTACCTCTCGGTGTAATTACTGTAAACATGACTGCTGTATAATGTAAAATGTATAATGTAAAATGAATAGGATCAATCATTTCAATATAAGAAAGATCTGTTTAGTTCTACCTTCAGCCATTTTGTTTTTATGATAAATCTCAAAATATAACCTGCACAATGAGGGATCAAGGGGAACCTACATATCAAATTTGATACAGATCCCTCAAAGTTATTCCTGTGAAATAGTACTAACAAACCTTCAATTTAAAATATCAAAGATAGCTGTAGGTCGGCCATTTTGTTTATCTGATCAGTTTCAAAAGTAAACACTAACAATAAAGGATAGTGGGGAACCTGCATATAGAATTTGAGAAAAAACTCCACAAACCTTAACTGTCAAAATCAAAGATTTGTTCATCCGATCAGTCTCGTACGAAAATATGCATAACTTCATACCAGGGGGAACCTACATGAAATATGTAAAAAAAGATCTTTCCAGTACTTCCCGAGTAATTGCCATAACAAACCTTCACTGTCAAAAACAAAGATGACTGCCTACCGGCCATTTTGTTTATGTGATCAGTCTCGAAAGTTAACCTGCACTACAAGGGACCAAGGAAGTCCTGCATATTAAATTTGAGATAGAGAGATAACAAACCTTCAATGTCAAAATCAAAGATGGCTGCCTGTTGGCCATTTTGTTTATCTGATCATTCTTGGAATTAAACGTGCACAATTACAGACTTGGGGAAGCCTACATAACAAACTTGGGAAAGATCCCTCAAGTTTCTTTAATGTCACAATCCAAGATGGTGGCCTGTCAGTCATTTTGTTTATGCACAACTACAGCTGTACCTAGGGATGCCTACATAACAAACTTTGGAAAGGTTCCTCCAGTTATTCCTGAGAATTGTTCATCCGATCATTCTCGGAATTTAACGTGCACAACTTAAGTCCTAGGGATGCCAACAAAACAAATTTGGGAAAGGTTCCTCATGAGAAATGGTGATAGAAATCCTTTAATGTTGCAATCCAAAATGGTGGCCTATCGGCCATTTTCTACATCCGATCAGTCTCAAAATTAACCATGCTCGACTACAGACCAAGGAGAACCTACATATATAATTGAAGATGGATCTCTCCAGTACCTCTGGAGAAATAGCGATAGCAAACATCCATGATGTTTATCCGATCGGTCAAAGTTGCCCTGCACAACAAGAGTCCAAGGGGAACCTACATATAAAATTTGAAAAAGATCCCTCTTGTACTTGAGAAATAACAATAACAAGAATTGGTTTAAGGACGGACCACAGAGGCAGGGTGAGTTGAATGGCCCACCATCCGATGATGGTGGGCTAAAAACATACCACAAGGCTAGACAGGGATTTGAACACTGGACTACAAATTATTGTATGAAATGGGGAAACAAGAGGTCCCAGAGGGATCTTGGCGCCCACCTTTGTACCATCTTAATTAGTTCTTTGTCAGTTGGATCTTTTATCTTCTTTCCTCTAATCTGTTTGATCGAGTCATGTTAACAGTAAATGCACCTTGAGGTAACTTTTGATCTGAACTTAATACTGATGTGTATGAAAGCCAACCTTCAAAGTGAGTTTGTCATTTCACATATTTACTAGTACAGTACTTAATGTAAAAGAAATAGAATCGATCATTGCAATATGAGAAAGATCTGTTTAGTTTTTAATCCATTTTGTTTTTATGATCAGTCTCAAAATTCAACATGCACAATGAGGGATCAAGGGGAACCTACATCTAAAATTTGAGAAAGATCCCTCGCGTACTTCCCAAGAAATAGTGATAATAAACTTTCACTATCAAAATCCAAAATGGCTGCTTGTCGGCCATGTTGTTTATCTGATCAGTCTCAAAAAAATCCCTGCACAGCTACGGACCAAGGGGAACCTACATATAAAATTTGAGATAGAGCGATAACAAACTTGGCACTATCAAAATCCAAGATGGCTGCCTGTCGGCCATGTTGTTTATCCGATCAGACTCAAAAGTTGCGCTGCACAGCTAAGGACCAAGGGGAACCTACATATAAAATTTGAGAAAGATCCCTCTGGTTCTTGAGAAATGCCGATAACAAACCTTCAATATCAAAATCCAAGATGGCTGCCTGTCGGCCATGTTTATATCCGAGCAGACTCGAAAGAAGTTGCCCTGCACAGCCAAGGACCAAGGGGAACCTACATATAAAATTTGAGAAAGATCCCTCTGGTTCTTGAGAAAGAGCGATAACAAACTTGCACTAACAAAATCCAAGATGGCTGCTTGTCGGACATGTTGTTTATGCAATCAGACTCAAAAGTTGCCCAGCACAGCTAAGGACCAAGGGGAACCCACATATAAAATTTGAGAAAGATCCCTCTAGTTCTTCAGGAGAAATAGCGATAACAAACTCGCTATCGAAATCCAAGATGGCTGCCTGTCGGCCATGTTGTTTATCCAATCAGTCTCAAAAGTTGCCCTGCATGCTTTCATGACTGCCATTTTGAAAAGCTATTCCAAGGGTTAAGAGAACCTAAGAGATTTGTATAAAATAGTGCCAAATGCAATATTCCTTGGGCTGTATTAATTTTTTAACAACAAAAGCTATTTAAAATTGAAAAATTTGGGAATATGTGAATAAAAGAAAGCCATTCTGCCTATACATGTACTTAATTTTAAGGAAGAGGTAATTTATCTCCCAAATTAATGTTAAGAGTCGGCTGAAAGTCATCGAAATGGATATAAAATGTATCGGTTTAATAATCCAAAATGTGGAAATAGGAACGATGTTCTAAACCAAAGCAGCATGCATGACCATTGCCCTGTTATCTCCCTTGAATAACGTGCGACATGCAGGTAACCATTGGAGAGACTCTAATAATGTCTAATATACAACATAAAATTCTCATTCTTGGTTTTTACTACTATTATTTACAAAAATAACATCTGGAATGAAGTCCCCTTGGTTAATTGATAATACAGACCAAAGATTGGTAGAAATCTAACCAGTGGTTCGATCAGGAAGAGGTTGATTCAAAAGTAAAATCAGCTTGTATGGGTTCTTAAACCAATACTTATTTTTGCTAATTCTCCAAAATTACTGGAGGGATCTTTCTCTCAAAATGTAGATTCCCCTTGGTTCTTAGTTGTGCATGTTACTTTTAAGATTGATTGGATAAATAAAATGGCTGTCTTGGATTTTGACGGTGAATGTTGGTTATCGCTATTTCTCAAATTTCATATGCAAGTTCCCCTTGGTCCGAAGATGTGCATGTTTACTTTAGAGACTGATCTAATAACAGTGAAAGTTTGTTATCGCTATTTCTCAGAAATTGCTTAAGAGATCTTTCTCAAACTTGATATGTACGGTAAGTTCCAATTGATCTGTTGTTGTGCATGTTTAATTTTGAGAGAGCGATTCACAGATATTTCTCAAATTTCATGTGAAGGGTCTCCTTGGTCCATGAGTAGTGTGCATGTATTATTTGATTGAGAAATACAAGATGGCCACTGACAGTCATCTTTGATTTTGACATTTCAAGAATATCGTAGCTATTTCCCAGAAACAGGTCTTTCTCATATTGCAATGATCAGTTTTATTTCTTTTACATCAAGTAGTGTACTAGTAAAATATGTGAAATGACAAATTCACTTTAAAGGTTGTCTTTTATACACAGCAGTATGAAGTTTAGATAAAAAGTTACCTCAAGGCGCATTTACTGTTTACATGACTTGATAAACAGAGGTCAAGTAACAATACGAAAGGGCTGCCTCTGGTATTTTGGACATATTTTTGGTCTCTTACCTCAAGGCATCTTTTACTTATTCCTGAAGTTCTACTAGGTAAATGTAACTAAACTTGGTAAAAATGTTCTTATTGCCACGACAAAGTATTTTACTGTAATTCTTTCATCCACAAGAAAGCCTTCCTTAAGGCCACCATTCAATTAGTTAAATAAAAATTATGAGAACCAAGAAGCTTTGTCCCTATCATTGAATATAGTGTATATACGGTAGAAGAAATGAAAAAATCAATTCAAATGAAATTCACCAGGTAAACTAGAAATTGAGAAAACGTTTTTGTATTAAAAATTTATCTTTTCGTTATTTTCTTGTTGACACAAAATTGGTCAGTTCTTCACTTATACTGCAGTACTTACCAAACAGCCAAACAGCTTAATCATGCAAAACTAACAGATACACTAACAAAACTTGACTTGAACAGCCCAGGATCTTATGACAATGGGCCTCTATTTTTTTATATAATAAAATATGGTATTATAACACATCAGTAAAATTGCAGAACAAACAATGCATGGATAAAACTTGTTGGGTGAGGTTCATGACTGATTTTCTCAACTGGGGAGGAAATCAGTCATTTGTATTTTATAAATCTGAATCATCACTGTCATGAAATTCCATTTGTGTATCTTGACTCTCTGAAACTTCATCACATTCTTCTTCTAAATCTTTAGAGGCTATCTTCTTTAATTTTATGTTTTGCAGGTATTTGATTTCTCCATTCCACTGTTTAAAATAATCAAAGTTTTTAGCATTGATAACATCGGGTAACTCTAAACCATTGGATGCAAACTCCTCTTTTTCCTTTTCCATTGTCAGTGATATTGCTGCCTCCCTAGAAGCATGCTGTCTCCCCTGTCGGTTTCCAATTTTTTGCATAATATCAATCTGATCTAGTTCATCTTCAAATCTTGTTAAATATTTCTTGCCTAGACTAGCTAGTTCACATTTTTTCAAGCATTTCTTTTCTAAATTTGCATTTTTCTGAAACCACATCAACCGATCTGCCAGCAATTCAGTTCTTTGTGTGTTTAAGTTCCTCTCTCCAAGTCTCAGGTCACGAGAAGCTTTCCTTGTCAGCTGCTGAGCTTTTCTGCTATTTGGATGAATTGGTTTTTTGTCCTGTCCAACTTTTGCTTTGGGTGCTTTCGGCATATTTCTTTTGGAACTTTCTATACATAAAAGAAAACATACTTGAAGGGAAATATAAAGGATTTATATGTTAATATTAAAGTTTTTTACCCGTACAACACTGTTTTGTAATAATATTCGGTTTCAAGTGAATGAAGAAGAAGATTCTTCAATATTCCATAAAAAAGCAGAGCATGTACAAATTAATCTGCTGGATTTCGCATACTATTTGTTTCTATGATCATGCAATAGCAATTATACAGTCTATTTCCACAGATAATAGAAAAAGTAAAACAATTAGGAAAAATACTAATCCAATTTTCAATCTAAATTATTTTTCAAATGTGCAAGTGCCTTAAATAGAATTATCAGTTTTAAGGAAGGTCCTTACATGTCACTAGTGTATGTTGTTTGTAAGTTTTGGAGTTGATGAGTTTGGTATAGATTCTTTCAATTCCAGGGGCAGGGCCTGACCGTAGCGCTAATCACGGTAGCATAATTGTGATTGTCCTTAAATCCTCTGCAAGTATATAGATCTATTTTACTTGGAATCTTGGTATTCTTTATATATTAAATTTGTACTCCGGGACTTAAGTTCCCAAATGCAGCACTACAGCAGACCCTGAAGCCAATTCTGGTTTGTCACCCAGCAATTGTGTATATGCATTTGTTGTAGCATGGACTAAGATAACTTATGTTAACCTGTGTATATGGTTGTATGGTCTACTGTCCCATGTTCACGTAGTACTAATATTAGTACCCGCCCTCCTCTGCCTCGTAGTCAGGCCTCAATTTGTATAAGGTTTTAGAATGTGAATACGCACCGCATAAAAAGTGTTGCTCTTATTTACTGGTGTGTATAGGTTTATTATCAACCGAAAGTATCCCGAAACCTACTCCTATAATATAAGAGGCCACTGGTTGGCCTTTTTCTTTCCGATATGATTTTGCCGACTGCAATGCGGCACCTGTCAAAAGAATCTTGCCGTGTAAAACCTCTTAAGGTCATTCCAATATGGCTGCCACACCAAACTTTATATCGAATTCAATATTCAATAATGCATTCCGTTAGCAGTTAACAGGTTGGGGAAAAACCACCAACTTGCGTATAATAAGCAAACTCGCCTATTATACGTCAGTTGGAGTATGGATTTGTTACTAAAAATATCCCAAATCGCTTTAACAGTAACCTTTACAAGATATTATTATAAATCGCATTAATTTACAACAGGGTAAATAGCATTTTGCTAAAGATGTTTACTGAAAGTGTTGGCTACTTGGAAATTTGATGTAACTTTACCGGAAGTATTGCATCTATTTTTGGTACTTCCCACATGCAAATAAAGTTTATTTTTGCATTGGTATTATGTTTCATGAATGAATAAATGCGACTTGGACAAAAAAAAATGAAAAAGTTAAGATTAAAGTGATTTGGGCTATTTTTAGTAACAAATCCATACCCCTATTAACGTTCTTCTTCTTCTTCCATTTACTGCGGCAGATCTCATAGATATGAGTGCAGTTGCCGCAATGTTTAAAAGGCGAGTTTGCGTATTATACGTAAGTTTAGTGGTTTTCCCCGACCTGGTTAAAAAAATCCCTGTCATAAACAATCCTCCTCCAATATTTCTCAGACATTAACTGAGGCAATGCACATTAATTTCAGAAAAAATATTCAATAACTAATGAAAAAACTCCCTTCAGGAAAAAATCCATTTAAACTTGTAAATATCATAAGGTTGGATGTCCATGAAGATGCATTTGTCGAGAAAAATGTCAGAAAATGTGTCATTTTGATACCCGAAACTGAGCCCCTGTGACATAAATTTGTTAAAATATTAAAATATCAGTAGGGTAGGGAATACTACTTCATATATGTTTTACATACTAACCAAATGCTAAAATGCCAGTGTCTTATGCACCATAGGTAAGTATACGGAAGTCGATAGGTTGATTTACCTTTATTGCTGTGTTTCTGGATCATGCACACGTGTTATTACCGGATGTAGATTTACTGTAAATTCACCAATGAAAAGCCTTTTTACATTAAAGGTTAGGTCGCACTGTGACTTAGAGATCACTTAAACGTTTTTCTTTTATGGATTTTCTCTATTTACAGAAAACGTGGAGGTGACGTCGACCAGAAAGACGACCTTTTATTTTCACTCGACGCAAAGATGTTTAGTTCGACGACGCGCGTACTTTCTCTGTCGACTCGTCTTTCTAAACAGATACATAGGTAAAACGAATGCATAAGTTATATCATGCTTTGATATTGTACGTAGTGGATTTTGGATTTTAGCTCAGGTATTAAATACCAGATACAAGCGCCTGTGCTAAAACTGGCCATAATCAGATATGAGATAATCGGAGGCTACATATAAAGCGACAGGTAAAACTGAGGTAAAACACATAATTCTGACCGGTCACCTGCTTATAGTCATGGTCAGGGTCAGCTGCCTATAGTTCTTGGGGATTTGTCGCCGAATTATGGCAATAGCGATTGCGAGAGATTTACATGCTTGCTAGAGAAATATTATACCTATATGTCAATTGGTTAATTTCTCACTCATTAGGCCTACCTGACTACTGCCAACTCGACACGTTGTGGAAGCTAACTCCCCGCGTTTTATCACAGGAGTCTGACGTTTTATCAATATGACCAAAGACGTATATATTAATATACGTCTCGATAGTATAACAATCTGTACATGAAAAAATACCCCTAATACTGATTTTTAGCTCACCTGGCCCGATGGGCCAAGTGAGTTTTTGCCGTGGTGCGGCGTACGTCCGTTGTCCAAGTTTGTTCACATGAATGACCTTGACCCACTTTCAAGGTCACAGGGGTCAAATATCTTAAAATCTTCAAACGACTTCTCAATAACCAAAAGGCCCAGGGTACTGGTATTGGGCCTGTAGCATGCTGGGATGAAGGGCTTCCAAGTTTGTTCAAATGAATGACCCTGACCAACTTTAAAGGTCACAGGGGTCAAATGTCGTAAAATATTCAAACGACTTCTTCTCAATAACCAAAAGGCTCAGGGTACTGAAATTGAGCCTGTAGCATGCTGAGATAAAGGACTATCAAGTTTGTTCAAATAAATGACCTTGACCCACTTTCAAGGTGACAGGGGTCAAATGTCGTAAAAAAAATTAAACAGCTTTTTCTCAATAACCGAAAGGCTCAGGGTGCTGATATTGGGCCTTTTAGCATGCTGGGATGAAGGACTACAAAGTTTGTTCAAATGAATGACCTTGACCCACTTTCAATCTAATGTCCTTGTTTGACATTCTAGGTCACAAGCTAATATGTTTAAATCTTTTAATAGGTTCTTATGAATCAAACACTGATATTCTGCCTGTAGCTGTATTTTAGTCCACTTTTAAGATTACAAGTGTGATTAATACCAGGTGAGCAATGCAGGCCCATTAGGCCTCTTGTTTTTACTCAAATTTTGGTAGGGATTATTGAAATCATTATCTCCACTTCATATTTTAACAACAAAAATTAATACTGTAGGACTCAGGTGACCGTTAAGGCCCATGGGCCTCTTGTTATATTTCTATAGTTATGTTGATAAAATGTCAGAATCGAGGATTAGCTGTAGATAGTTGAACATAAATGGGCGATGGTCAGAATTTTTCGAGCCTGCAATTATGGTCATTTTTAGTGGACCAATCCGGCCACCACTTCTTTCTTCAAAGCTTTCATTAGGTAGCATATGATGACCTAACCCGTGTTTCCTCTGGCCCTAACCCCAGACTTAGACTTTTGACATATAGATGTCTGGTGTGGGGACAGAGCACACTGCTATATGAAAACGTGGAATTCTCTGATACCGTTTGGTATCAGAGAGTTAAGAGGTGCTGACAACAAAAATCTACTATGACACAACACATACCTCACATATATCGATAAATGGATTATTTATTGATCCAAATCAGCTCTTATTATCATCAACAGCTGCTAAATTCTGCCAGTAGAGTCCTTGATTTTCAATTGTTCAAAATTTCCCATCTGAGTGAATGCCATTTTTGTAGGTCATGGGTGACTAATCAACAAACTGTACTGATCCGGACCGAAAACGGAATATATTATTCTTTGTTTAGGAAATTTCCTGACCACGTCTTTTTGTTGATTAGTCACTCCCAGATACAAAATGGTGTCTGGAGAATTCCATGTTTTCATAGTTGGAGAATTCCATGTTTTCATAGTCAGAGAATTCCACGTTTTCATATAGCAGTGCGCTTTGGCCCCACACCAGACAGCTATATGTCAAAAAGTCTAAGTCTGGTGTTAGGGCCAGAGGAAACTCAGGCTAATGATTACAGGTCCTCAAATGATACCTAAATATTAGTGCATTAGTAAAAAAAAATCTCTCACTTGTGATGTGTACCTGTGAATAGGTAGATACAGTATCACTGGAAAATCTGGCTATTTAGCTAAATCTGGCTATACAGTCAATTATGACTACACAGATATAAGACAAATGTAACAAACAAATAAAAACTGGTCAAGGTTATCTGGTGCACATAGAAAAATGCAGACCAAGAAGGAACCATTCAACCTAAGTAGTCCAAGTGATGTAAAACAATTGTCACTACTAATGCTTGTAGCTAAGATATTTTTTTTCTTTCTGGCTAACAAGTGTTTTGTTAGTCAGGTTCTGCATGATGATAGTGGCACCTCCTTTTGATTGTAGTTTTATGTTCTATTGATTGATTCAATAATTATGGTTTCATGTCTTTACAAAGTTAAGGTCATTTGACAATGTGTCCAAAGATCTTGAGGCCACATATCGGCCATTTTGAAGGTCTTTAAAGTGTCATTTAACTGAAAAAACTAAACTTTGACACTGTAGCCTGATTTGCAAAGAATCCTTTGGAGATGCAGTAGAAACAATTTTAAATTTACAGAAACTTGTCCTTTGAAAAAATAGTCAAAAAGTGGAATTCATCACAATTCATATGGTTTAATGTTCCTAATCACTGAGACTCCACAGAAGTTGCTATATTTAAACAAGCTTAAGATAAATAGGTGGTAGTAAAGATAAATAGGTGGTAGAAGTGGCAGGAAGAGAATGGAAATTCCATGGCTGAGTTTAGGTGGCTTTGAAACTATCAGTGGTTATACTAAGATAGGTCTTACATGAACCTGGTATTTAAGTTTTGTAATGGTAATTGTTGACATCATTTATGCAACAATTGCACTGAGAAAGTCGTTGCTGAGAAATGACCATGTTAGTTTATGAAAAGTGTGTAATTAATACTGATTATATATCTGTCAATAAATGGCTGGGATAATACTGTTTCTCATGACACTTAAGTGAAAAACTATAAATGCCAACCAATATATTGCCAGATATATTAAAGTATTAGCTCCAGCCAATAGGTTGGTCAGGCCGGACAGTGGATAACACGCTCACCTTTCACAAAGGGGCCTGGGTTCGATTCCCGGATCGGATGTGACAAGGTATTGGGTCACCTGCCCGACCACTTGGGTTTTCTACGGGTACTCTGTTTTCCTCCGACATCATGACTGCTAGCGTACTAGTATCTGGGCCAACAAGAGTGATTAATATAAGTTGAAATAACTAGTTTCATAATTGTTGTAAAAGAAATAAAGTTTATATTTATTCAGACAAGATGGTTCTTTAAAATGATTGGAGGGCAATTAAGGTAAATTCAAATTGTGTTGACCAGAGGGCATACGGTAACTGTTTTTATTCCAACAGTGTATATATTTTTAGCTGACAATGCATCTTATATGCTTGGTTGCAGATTACAACGCCAGGAGAGGGTCATTCAGGCATGTGCAAATTGTATGCGAAGGGCTCAGTGCACATTAGCTAGTCCACATGAAAGTACTGAAAAGTCCTACCCTCCGAAGATCCAAAGCATTGTGGAAGATATTGGTCAGCTCACACTGCTTGAAGTAGCAGATCTAAATGAACTATTGAAGGTAATCTAAGATGTAGTTTTAACTCAAGCTTCATTGTAAACATTTTCAAACATATAGTGGTGATCTTGCTAATGTTAAACATTCCATGACAGGATGTACAATTCCACTTTCACAATGCCTTGCGCTAGAAGATTTTATTTAATGGCTGGTGAAAAATCTTCAAGGTTTACCATGAAATTAAAGCCTGGCTAGCAGAATTTTTCAAAATTTGCATGAAATCTATTGTTACTATTATGAAATTATACACCTTCATTGGTGATGTATTTCAAGGTAAACTTTTAATGCTGATTTTTTGCTGTAATGAGATACTTAGAATGAACAGAGTTTGGTGGAATTAGTACTGAACTGTTTATTAACTTTCTTACAGAAAACTCTGAAGATTAAAGATGCTCCAGTCATGGCAATGGCTAGTGCCGGTCCTGCAGCTCCAGCAAAGGTACTGTTACTGTCTAAGTGATTATTTCTCTGGAGTTAATCATATTTAAAAAAAATCCTTTCTATTCTATTCTTCTTTCATGATATTATGTCTGTAGCTTGCTGTGTTGAAAGGCTATCAATTTTTTTATAATAAGTGACATTGACACACTTTTAAATTTGCAGGATTCTAATACTTCATTGAAATAATTAATATTAACCCCTTTTACATTAGCTGGGTTCAAATGTGTTTTGATACTTTAAATGACATATTAAACGGAACTGTTGAGTCTACGGCCATAGCATTTGTCATTTGTCCTGAAGCGTGAGAGGAAGACAGCCATTAAATGTGTTAAAATAAATGTTGAGTTTCAATATGTTTTGTAGATTGCTGAAGGGAAGTCTATAAGAAATTTGAAAAGAAATGATCTCAACAATGAATTAGTTCATAGATCCATGGCTATTAAAGTTTTAATAAGATTTCTGTAGTATTTTAGGATGAAAGAATCTGATTTGATTAAATGAATGATTTTGAGACACTCGCACAGTCACTCGTAAGGTAACTAGATATCAATAAACTTGTGTTTATTAACAAAGGATTCAAGTGTCTGTTGTCACACTTGATTATTGTCAAATGTGACAACATAATCATTGAGTTGATATTAAAAAAAAAAAATGTTGGACTGGAGAGAGTTTTTATAAGAATCTAAAATGAGATAATCTGTCTTTGAGCTTCGGAAAGAGAATGTTCAGATTAATCAGTACTTGAACAATTCTCTTTTTGAAATTTCATTCAAAACAAGAGGCCCAGAGGGCCTGTATCGCTCACCTGAATATGTTTAAAATAATTTGTATGAAGTAAAGATATAGCACTCCATGGTAGCTAGGTGCTGTAAGTACATATGAAATTTCTGAAAGATCCATCCAGTACTTGAGATATAACAAATTTCAAACAGAGCCCAACCCCTATGCCCCTAGGGGGGGTCATACCCACCATTTATACAAAATTGAGTCCCCATGGCCAAAGGATGCTCAAGACTAAATAAGGATAAAATCCCTTAATCATGATGGTCGAAGAAGGATTTTAAAGGTTTTACCTCTATTTCTACTATTGGGCCCCGCCCTTCTGCCCCCTGGGAGACCACACCAACTGCTTATACAAAATTGAGTCCCCTTGGTCCAAGGATGCTCCAGACTAAATTAGGATAAAATCCCTTAATCCATATGGTAGAAGAAGGATTTTAAAGGTTTTACCTCTATTTCCCCGATAGGGCCCAGCCCCTCAGGTCCCAGGGGGGCCATACCCACCGTTTATAAAAAATTGGTTCCCCTTTACCCAAGGATGCTTCACACCAAATATGGACCAAATCTTTTCATTCCTACAGAAGAAGAAGGATTTTAAAGAATAATTTGCTATGTTTTCCCTATACTATTGGGCCACGCCCCTCAGGTCCCTGGGGGGTCAGACCCATGGTTTATACAAAATTGGTACCCCTTCACACAAGGATGCTTCAGACTTAATATGGAATAAATCCTGTCATTCGTACAGAAGAAGAAGGATTTTTAAGAATTTGCTATATTTCCCATATTGGGCCCCGCCCCTCAGCCCCCAAAGGGGCCAGACCCACCGTTTATACAAAATTGGTTTCCCTTAACCCAAGGATGCTCAACACCAAATATGGACCAAATCCTGTCATTCCTACAGAAGTAGAAGGATTTTAAAGAATGATTTGCTATGTTCCCCTATTGGGCCCCGCCCCTCAGGCCCTTGGGGGGCCAAACCCACGGTTTATACAAAACTGAGTCCCTTTGGCCCAAGGATGCTCCAGACTTAATAAGGATAAAATCCCTTAATCCCTAGGTTAGGAGAAGGATTTTGAAGGTTTTACCTCTATTTCCCATATTGGGCCCCACCCCTCTGCCCCCAGGGGGGCCACACCCACCATTTATACAAAATTGAGTCCCCTTGGCCCAAGGATGCTCCAGACTAAATTAGGACAAAATCCCTTCATCCCTATTGTAGGAGAAGGATTTTGAAGGTTTTACCTATTTTCCCTATTCGGCCCCGCCCCTCTGCCCCCAGGGGGGCCACACCCACCATTTATACAAAATTTAGTCCCCTTGGCCTAAGGATGCTCCAGACCAAATTTAGTCAAAATCTACTTGGCCGTTCAGGACTAGGAGCGTTTTTAAGGAAAAGTTGACGGACGGACGGACGACGGACGATGCTGTATGGCATAACCTCACCATGGTCCTTCGGACCAGGTGAGCTAAAAATGCATGTAGAATTTTTGTTGAGCCAGGTTTGACTGTGTACAATCCAAACTTTGTTTTTTATTCATACATTTTAATTTATTTCAGTATCTTTGAGCAGTCTTAATTGATAGGGTTCACTTGACTGGAATAATGTAGATAACTGGTACCAAACTGACTTTAATGAACATTGTTTTCTTGACTATACAGGAGGAAGAGGAGGAAGTTACAACCACAAGAGAACAGACATCATTTGATGTTAAACTACTTGGATTTGATACTGCCAAAAAGATTGCACTGATCAAAGAAATCAAGAGTATTTGTGGCCTCAATTTAGTTCAGGTAAGAGCACTGCTCCCAGCAGGAATGTACCTGGGGGATTTAACATTTGCCACTTTGTGTTGAGTTTGTTTCTTCTCACCCCTATTTCTCCAGATTGTTTTTGAACCTGGCCAAATTTTACGACTTTTCAGTTATAAAGATTGCCTGGATGTTTACAATTGTAGTCTGCACTTTTTGCATTAACTTGATTTGAAATCTCAGTCATGCTGTGGCTAGGCGAAGGGAGATAACCACATTCATTAAAGCAAGAGGAAACAAGGATTAGCTTCGTTTACTTTAAACACAGGTTTTATAATTGTTAGAAATGAGTGAAGACAATCAAAACCTCAACAAATGTTTCAATGTTTTTTTCCTCGCATTTCTGACTATTATTGGCATGTCAAGCACTAGCACTGATGTTAATATCCGGCCTCCTCTACCCTGGCCAAAATATGTAAAAAATGTCTCCTCGTCAGAAGCTACGTTATCACAGCTAGTCAAGCTTCTGAACCACAGATACTTTTCACTAGACGTATTTGCTCTATGCTGATTACTTTACACGTAGAAAAATGCACTTCCATTGTATTGTAACCCCTATAGATGGTGAATCTTTGTATTCATGTTAGCTCTATTACTCAGAATAAAGTATGGTAATATGATCTCTTGAACCTTTTGTCTAATGAAATGCGTATTTGTTTGTATGACCATGTACAGTGCATGATATGATCTGTTATATTCTGGGGATCATCTTGTTACCATGGGCTGTTTGTTATAGAAGATATATACTGTTAATGTTCAACACCCTGTCCCATTTCACTACTACAACTGAATCTGTGTAGTAGTGTTTTGTTGTATAGTGTATCATTCTGTCCTTTTCAGTCCAAGACTTTTGTGGAGAAGACACCGCAGATAGTGAAATCGGGTATCTCTAAAGACGAAGCAGAGAAAATGAAGGAAGCATTAGTGGCTGTGGGAGCATCAGTGGATGTTTTGTAGAAAAAGAAATTGATAACTATTTCATAATAGAAGAAACTTACTTAAATGATCAAGAATTGGTGTTTATACGGTGTAAAACTTGAATATTTGTGATAAAAAATACTGTACTTGTATTGATACTGTACTTTAGTTTTCTTTTTATTTGTTTATTTTGACTCACCTGGAAAAAGGCCATGGGAGATTAAAAATGCCATCAGATTTTTTGTATGCCAGTATATTTTGAGAAGTCACTTTAGTTCTCTAAGAATTCATCAGAAATCCAATATGGGAGCCACTAGTTTGATTATATATTTTTGTTTCAAATTTTCTGGTAATTCAACTCAAAGTCTAACTGCTGCTGCAGTTGTAATTTTGAAAATCTATTTAATGTACATTTTGCTGAAACTTGGTTGATTAGTGGAACTGACAATGTCCACCAAAGTTGTATAGTATCTCCAAGTAAAAACATTTAGGTGTAAGGAAGATAATTCATTTTTTTTAAGCTACCACCATCAAAGGCCTGGATATGTTAACAGCGGATAATCTAATCTAATGAAAAAAATTACCTTATAAAAGTTATCTCCCTTGAATAGAATCCAAAAGCAACTTAAAAGGACTTGCTGTACATTTCATACCCAGGAAACAGGAAATTAGTGCTACAAATGCATAAATATACCAAAAATAAAGAGATTTGTGCGACCATACTGTCAACTTTGTCGTATATGGACATATTTTACGGGATTGAAACTCTGTTTCTTGACTGCTGTTTGTATACAGCGCCATGCTCGTTTACCTCGAAGACTGCTGAATAGATCACATGGTCCGACAATTCTGCCACGTCACAGCAAAAGTGGAAACCGTAGTGTATGTTAACAAAGACATGTGTGTCAGATTTTACATTTTGTCTCCCTGTTCTTATGCACGTCACATTGCTGGATAATATTATTTTATCATAAAATAAACCAGGGTCATTGTAAATCACAATTATTACGGATAATTATCATATTTTAAGTAGTTCACTAGCTAGCGGAGGCCCAAAAGGGGTATCGATAATCCATCGGAAATTTAGCTGTGAAAAGTTGGAATCAAGCTTTATTTTGTCTGTTCCTAGATGTGTCTGCTAAAATTCTGTGTAGCCCTCTTGGCTTGCCTCGTTTTTAAGGTCTTTAATCTCCCTGTTTAGCGATATTTAAGACGTCTATGTGAAGGTATGAAAGTTAAGATCCTACTGTCCCATTAGGCCCAGGCCAAAAGGGGAAATTATAGACTTAACTCTTAAAACATTTCCTTCTGACCTAGAAATACTAATCATATGATTTTAACTCGGATGGAAATGTTCCAAGGGGATTTACGGAGGGTAGATAAAGCAGGTCTATAAATATAAATAAAGATTTGGTTTTTATGAGCTCACCTGGCTCAAAGGTGAAGTTCATCAAAAGTCCTTAACAGCTTAGGGGATTTTGACCAAATTTGGTCTGGAGCAAAGGGGATTCAATTTTGTATAAACAGAGTATGTGGTCCCCTTGGCAGAGGACAGGGCCAAATACAGGCCCCCCTCCCCAGAGGACAGGAGGTGTGGCCCAATAGGAGAAATAGAAGCAAATCAATAAAATTCTTCACCTTCCATATTAATTTAGAGATTTTTTCCCCACCCTATAACAAAATATACAATTGCCAGGAGGTCCAGACCAACTTCTAGAGAAATCCTCCCTGGGTCATACCATGGAACAAGTTATATCCCCATGCCATAACAATTTACAAAGTAGCTGGACATGAAGAATACTCGTTTCCTGGGGCGTCTTACCCACCTAAACAGATTTACATGTAGTCCTTTGATAAACTGGTATAGTACTCGACAGGTTTTAAATTGAAAATAAAATACCAGGTGAGCTATTGAGGCCCCTGGGCCTCCTATTCAATAGGAAATATGTTTGTTAGAAATAATGTCATTTGATGCCAGTTAAATGGTAAGAAATCCACAAAAAACAATACATGTATGTAGTCACTTACTGGTAGCCTTCATTGACAAAAATGTCCAGTGATACGTTATCAAGGTTGTGTTCATTATCCTAGGATCACCCTATTCACTCTTGGAAGAAGGTCAAATAGTGCTTTTGTGTATCTAGGAGTCTCTGTTTGGCCTTTGGGTGCATAGGGCTTACAAGCGACCACATAAGGATTTCCGATAATTATTGGTCACTTGAATTATTGATACCCAGCAATGATCTATCTTTCGGTCTTGATTTGTACACTGTTAACATACACAAGTACATTTCACTCTTAAAGTATTGCACGTAATCAGGATCACATTATTAGCTCACCTGGCATGGTGCGGCGTCAGGCGTCAACTTTTTACTTTAAACAACTTCTTCTCAATAACCAAGAGGCACAGGCTGATGATATTTGGCCAGTAGCATGCTGGGATGGAGGGCTACCAAGTTTGTTCAAATGAATAACCTTGACCCACTTTCAAGGTCACAGGGGTCAAATGTCGTAAAATCTTCAAACAACTTTTTCTCAATAACCAAAAGGCCCAGGGTACTGAAATTGGGCCTGTAGCATGCTGGGATGAATGACTAACAAGTTTGTTCAAATAAATGACCTTGACCCACTTTCAACCTAATGTCCTTTTTCGACATTCAAGGTTACAGGCGTCATATGTTTAAATCTTAAAATAGGTTATTATGAATCAAACACCAATATTCTGCCTGTAGCTGTATTTTAGTCCACTTTTAAGATTACAAGTGTGAGATTTATACCAGGTGAGTGATGCAGGCCCATTGGGCCTCTTGTTTATATTTTATTTTCTACTACATATAATGTTGGTATACCAATTCACTAATATTATAATCTATTTTGTTAAAATTTGAGAATGCCTTAATATTTATTGCAAACAAGAAGCCCAATGGGCCTGCATCGATCACCTGGTATTACTCCCCCACTTAAAACCTTAAAAGTGATCTAAACTTAAGCTAGACAAGAAATCAGTATTAATGACTGTCATTCAAAAGAATCGGTTAAAAGATTTTAAAAAATTTGACACCCTATGACTTTAAAAGTTGAACAAGGTCATTACATTGAACAAACTTTATAGCCCTTCATCTCAGCATGCAGCTTGCCAAATATCACCACCCTAGACCTTTTGTTAATTGGGATTAGGTCATTTAAATGTTTATACATATTTGACCAAATGTGACCTTGAAAGAAGGTCAAGGTCATTCAAATGAAATGATAGCCCTTCATCCAAGCATGCTACTGGCCAAATTTCAACATTCCAGGCATCATGGTTATTCAGAAGAAGTTGTTTAAAGACTTTTAAACAAATTTGACCCTGTGACCTTGAATATAAGTCAAGGTGATTCATATTTTAACAAACCTGGCAGCCCTTTATCCTAGCAAGATACTGGCCAGATATCAACATTCAGGCCTTATGGCTATTCACAAGAAGTCTTTGAAGTTTTAAATTTATTTGATGCCTGTGACCTTGAATATAAGTCAAGGTCATTCATTCATTTGAACAAATTTAGTAGACCTTCATCCTAGCATACTACTGGCCTGATATCATCACCCTGGCCCTTTCGGTTATTCAGTCGAAGTTGTTAAAAGATTTTTTTTACATATTTGACCCCTGTGACCTTAAATACAGGTCAATGTCATTTGTTTTAACAAACTTGGTAGCCCTTTATCCTAGCATGCTACTGGCCAGATACAATTTCCCCAGCCCTTTCGGTTATTTAGAAGTTGTTTAAAACTTTTTTTTAGACAATTGACCCCGTGACCTTGAACATAAGCTATGTCATTTATTTGAACTAACTTGGTAGCACTTCATCCCAGCATGTTACTGGCCAAATATCATCACCCTGGGAATTTTGGTTTTTCAGAAGAAATTGTTTACCCCTGTGACCTTGAATATATGTGAAGACCTTCAAGACCATTCATTTAAAACAAATATGGTAGACATTAATCCCAGCATGTTACTGGCCAAGCATCATCACCCTAGGCCTTTCAGTTATTCAGAATTAGTTGTTTCAAAGGTTTTAAACATATTTGACCCCTGTGACATTGAATATAAGGTTAAGGTTATTCATTTGAACAAACTTGGTAGGCATTCATCGCAGCAAGTTGTTGGCCAAATATCATTGCTCTAGGCCTCCTGGTTTTTCAGAAGAAATTGTTCAAAGGTTTTAAACATATTTGATCCTGTGACCTTGAATTTAAGGCAATGTCATTCATTTGAACAAACTCGGTAGCCCTTGATCTCGGCATGTTACTGGCCAAATATCATCACCCTATGCCTCTTGGTTATTCAGAAGTTGTTAAAAGATCTTAACATATTTGACCCCCGTGACCTTGAAAATGGATGAAGGTCATTCATTTGAATAAACTTAGTAGCCCTTCATTCCAGCATGCTACTGGCCAAATATCATCATCCTAGTCATTTTGGTTACTGAGAAGAAGTTGTTTGAAAGTAAAAAGTTGATGACCGACAGATTGACGCCGCATCATGGCATAAGCTCACTTGCCCACCTGAGCTAAAAATGTACTGTATTTGCTGTAATTAGCACCCCTCCTCCTTTTCTTTTGGGGGAATGGAAATTATATAGACCGCCATCCCAATTCAGACCATGCAAAGTGTATGAATTATAGCACATTGTTCATACTGAAGCAGAGATTTATGTCTGGTGATCAAGGCTGAACTCCACATGAAGCAGGTGAAACATTTGATTTCCAAACCTCTAGCTACACTCGAATGTTTGTCCTTTGGTGATAACAACTGTTGTAAGTTCCCTGGACAACTTTGTAAGTCATAACTTGCATTGTATTATCTTAATATGCCCCCCTCCCCCCTTTTAAACAACCTGGATACCAATTACTGTAAATATGGTAGGTATGTATAAAGTCAAGAGATTATTATCATTTCCACTTCATGTCTCAATAACAATTTCAATTGCTACTGTATACTACAACTCGAGTGACTGCAAGGCCTCTGGGCCTCTTGTCATGTAGATAAGATTTGTTTTATTAGGTCACTCGAGATAAAAGTTTCAGTTGACCTAAATGTGATTGCCTTTTGTCCCCTGTGTGTAGACAGCTCGTAAACAATTCACATTCTTTACTGTCTTCTGCTCCAAAATCACACAAAAAATCAGAAATACATGTATTCCAACCAAAACTTAATTATATGGATCCAACACCTCCATGGCCCAAGGGATGGGATCATGTTAGCTAAAATTTCACCAATCTCCTTATTCAGACCCAGATATCAAATACTCATGGATGGAGGTCTTTATCAAAACTGTAAATTTCATTACCCCCATGTTACCCATTCCGCATTGGGGAGGGGGTAAAATTTACCATGTGTTTGTAGGGAAATCACACTAGGGTATATTTTCAGCAAGAAAATAGTTGAAACTTGGCTGGAATCAATAGCACGTGATTGCAGTTACTTGCAGTTAATTTTTTATGAAAATGAAGACAAAGACTAACCTCTTCAGCCTGAAAGGCGAGGCAAAAAAAGGGAAAATTAAGCAAAAATTTCAACCATCTTTTTCAGATATGCTAAATTTATATATAATTCATGGTTTGAAAGGTACTTTGGTGCTTGATCAATTCACCTCTGAAGAAGATATTACTAGTAAATTGACCATAGTTTTGAAAGGGTATGGCACTTTGGGGATATTTTTTTTGTCAGAAATAGTTCAAAATTAGTTGGATTTTTTAGTAGCATGTGAAGACCCTTGTCTCTGGCTCTCCCCTAAGGCCTGAGGGGCAGGGCACAAAAAGGACAAGTTAGCTAAAATTCAACAATCTTTTACCCGAATATGCTATAATCAAATACTCTTCATAGATGAAAAGGTCAAAATTGTGAATCAGGTCATCACTTCCCCCTTGGAGGGGAACTGATAACAAAAGTATTCAAGTAACTCAAGTAACCATTAAGGCCCATGGGCTTCTTGTGTTCAAGAAAGTTACATTTTCTTTAGGGATAAGAAAAAGCAAAAACAAGCAAATTTCTTATAAAAAATTTAATGTGTGTAACGAGAAAGTATTCACAACATATTATGCGTCTCATTTAATCCACGATTGCTTTAATAGAGATTATGCATTGTGGACAAAATTATACTGGCATTACTTGCTTATATTTACGTTTTCTCCGGCTTTCATGAAGGTTTCTTAACTTACAAGGTATATTTAAAATTTAAAATTCCCGCCTTATCGACAGTCTGCACAAATATGGTCAATAACATGAGAAAATGAGAAATGTGTCTCGTGGTGGATGTCATTTAACTCATTCCCCCCTGGAGTTTCATAATGAACTATTCCAACCTCTGAATTGGATGAGTTCAAATGTGTCTTCACGGGTGAATGAGTTGAAGTCTCATCAAAGACACAGCTTTCAAGTAGGTTATCTAGTGATAATGCCTTGCAAATGTAAATATAAGCAAATACGTCCCCAAAATTATCACATACAGCATTGATAAAATTACCAAAAAAGGTGGTTTTCTTCCCAAATTATTGTGAACAGAAATCAACTTTAATATATCAAAATAATATATAAGAAATAAAATACATACACATTGTGTATAAACATTTAACAGCATCACTAATCCCCCATGTAGTAAATGTGGTTTTCCATGCTAGGTGAAAATCACGCCATCTAAGGTCAAAACCATTCGTGCAGAAATATTTTTAGATGGTTTTGGTAGACGATGCTTAATTATCTCACTTTTGATGTACACATACAGGTATAAAGGTACAAGTATCTTGAATGTGGACAACACAAAGACAGTTTCTAACGATGTACATGGTGTTTGCTCAGGGGAAACCAGTGTTACTACCGTTTGATACATGTGTGATTTATGACTTTCTTCTTAAATGTATTTTTGGAATATTTACAATATTGATCCTTCACAAAACTTCTATTTTGTATTAGAATAATCACCATTTGATAATTTCATAAAAGCTTATCAACAAAAATAAATTAATTCCGAGATTCTATGCTCTGAAAAATAAATAAAAATATTTGAATCATTTAATCTCAAATCCTAAATTCATTTGTTTAAAAAATACAAAACACCAAACAAAATATTTGATAAGAGTAGACCCGTTTAGAAAAAAGTTCTTGTTCACATCATATCTGCATAATCCATTACCAGAAAAATAACCCAGAGCAGTAAACTAAATGCTAATTTAAATGCTCAACATTATTATGTATGTGTTACCTCTCTGAAAAATATCTTGAAAAAAGTATTTACAATTACACTAATTAACTTTTCAACAAAACCTAAAGCTTGTGGTCAGTTCTACCAAGTTTTAGAAAACTGCATTAAAGTTTGGAATTTAGAGTCTACCAGACAAGCTCTGTCAAAATACAGACATATATTTAGTTATACATCCCTTGTGGCATAAAAGTGTGAATACAAACTGCCCCAACTCGATGAATGGACACAAACATTTGATGTTTGTTCAAAATATTTGTAATACACAGTATCAGGCACTGTTGAAAGTCTTCGTAGCTTAGGATTGTTTTTAATTCAAAACAGGCTCCGTGACAACCTTGATTTTCACAGTCTCTCTACCAATCCTCATTACCAGGAAGAGGGAAGGTCAGTGCAAAAGATTCCACTTCTTTCTTGAGTGCTTCTATTTTTGCCTTTACAGTTTCATCCTCATGAACTTTAGCATTGAACTCCTTGATAGTGGGTCCACAGTTGGACTGGGTTTCAATAGCCAGTTGGATTCCTGGAAATAAACGAACACCATATAAGTTATGTATCTTCAAAAATTTTACAATCTTAATCAAGTACATGAAACTGCTGTATTGGTGCTTCATTATTATGTAGAACTTGAAGAAAGGACAACTCCTTAACCTTAACCTAGGAATGTCTTCAAGTTAAGGAATGCTCATAAAAAAGGCCTGCTCTAAGCTGAAACTTTCATTTGCATTTTTTTGTGCATTTGCTTTTATTACACTGAGTAACAGAGTTAATAATTATTCGCATATATTTGGTGCCATATACTTAATTTTAAAACTATAAAATAGTTAAATAATACTAAGAAGCAAGTAATCTGGATTTCTGTTGTGGAGATAAAATCAACTAGAACACTGACAGGTCAGTAAGTGCCCCGTCTTGTGGCAATATATCCCCCATAATCATCAAGAAGCAATCTGCCCATATAGCTAAGCTTGACGTTTGACATTTGGACTTCAAAAAGAATCGCAAGGAAGCAAAATATACGTTTTACATGTACTATGATGTGAGTCTTGTTTCTTTCCACCTCCATATTTGCTGGGCTAACAGAAATGTAAATACCTGTGCAATACTCATTTGTTTGCTTTAATTTGTTTTATTTCACCTTATATACCTCCTCCATCAAGAGCCAGGGTCAAAGTCAGAGATGAACTTAGTCTTTGACCTTTGGACCCAAATGACCTTGACCATTACCCCAGTGACCCTGATCTTTGGTCAGTTGACTTATTATTTAATTCCGACCAACTTTGCTTCTTAATATCATAACAAAATGTTCATCAGTAAAAAAATACAAAACTTGACCTTGGCCCTTTGGACCCCGTAACCTGGACCTAAGGTCAGTTGACTCTGTGTTAAGTTCTGAACAATAATGTTTCATAATTTCATAACAAAATGTTCATAAGGGAAAAGGTACAAAATTTAAGCTTCACCTTTGACCCAGTGACCTTGACCTTTGGTCAACTGACTCCTTGTTTAATTCTGATCAACTTTGCTTCATCATGTCATATCAAAATGTTCATCAGTGAAAAGATGCAAAATTTGACCTTGACCTTTGAATCTAATGACCTGGACCTTTGACCTCGACATTTAACCTTAGTGTGTCTCTTTGTTCTATTCCGAACAACTTTGCTTCATAATGTCATAGCGAAATGTTCACCAGTGAAAAGCTACAAAATTTGACCTTGACCCCTGACCCGATGACCTTGACCTTTGGTCAGTGTGTCTCTTTGATTAATTCCGAACAACTTTGCTTCATAATGTCATAACAAAATGTTCATCAGTGAAAAGATGCAAAATTTGACCTTTACCTTTGCACCTAATGACCATGACTTCTTACATCAATGTGTATTATTGTGAACTGAACATCTTGACCAAGTTTCGTGTACATCGGTCAATAAATACCAAAGATATGAGCCAGGAACACAACTTGTGGACGGACAGACAGACAGACAGACAGAGTGATTACTATAGGGCACCCGTATCTCTGATACAGGGCCCTAATTACAATGTAATGTTCCTATGCACCATTTTTTTTTTCTGGAGCAAAAACGACAAACAGTTTGTGTTTATCTTGCCTAATCACAGTACTGCAAATCTCAAAAACAGTTGGGTTACTCCTTTCATGATTACATATGCTCAATAATAAGAAATTGATAAACAAATAAACTGACCTCTATCAATAAATTCTACAACTGTTTCAAAGTCGGCATCTTTGAAGTTCCTGGATGTGAGTGCTGGTGTTCCTATCCGCAGGCCGCTTGGTTTCAGGGCACTCTTGTCCCCAGGGCAGGTATTCTTGTTGATAGCTATGCTTACTTCCTCCAGGATTTTCTCTGCACGAGCCCCATCAATTTTGTTTGGACGAAGGTCCACCAAAATCAGATGATTTTCCGTTCCACCTTTAAAAGGGATATTAAGTAATTTTTATTGCAAGTTTGTGTGATTACATGCTACATTTTTTGCAAATATTAATTACAGTTTATTGTACACATACTTACCAGTCACAATTGTGTATCCCTTTTTTTGCATAGCTGCACACATGGTCTTTGCATTACTGATGACTTGCTGTTGGTAGGCTTTGAATTCGGGCGTGTTTGCCTGCTTCAGGGCTACAGCAACACCTAAAATCCCAGAATGCACATTAATTATCAATAGTAAAATATTAAATGATTACAAGACCCTATTTCAGTACACAACACGCTCCATCCAAAGAGAGACTTGCATACAAAAATTGGATTCTAGGTGATACACAAACTGATGGACAAAGTGCAAACCAGTAGTCCCATTCAGTAGTCCCAGCATGGAACTAATAAAATTCTATGTGTTCACCACATTTGTACCTTCAGACATGAATGCAAATCAGTTTGATATAAATCATAGACATTACTGTAAATCAGTTTGCTGACCCCAAATAACCGTGCTACTTCGGGTTTTCAAATTTTGAAAAACTTTACCACTCTTCTGTTTTGCATTTGTTCATAGCTCACGATTAAACAAAAACATTGAAAATGTTTAAATCAGAAATTGTACTTTATCATCAAAGTATTTAAAGCAATAGTAAAAAGGTGATATTTGTGATATTGAAGAAAAAATTCCTATCCCAACTTAAAATCCTGGGTCAGGTTAATGCAAACACACAATTTATGTAACTGGCCATATGCAATATCCCCTTTTAAACAAAATATCCTACCAGCAATCTGGTGATTGTGAGGACCACCCTGAAGTCCTGGAAAAACTGCCTCATTGATCTTCTTTTCCATGTCATACATTACTTCCTTTCCATTTTTCAGCACTTTCCTCACACCTGCAATGCATTAAAGTCGGCACACTTTTAGTCGTTTATAAAAAATTATAAAAAATCATGGGATAACATTTTCACATGAATATTCCTCCCCAAGACTCGTCATGATCACAGTGCCACACTGTTCAATCAACATTTCTAAAGAAAATGTAAACATCAAGATGTAGCTCTGACAGTAAACTTGGTGATTTAGAAAGTTTTTACACAGGGTCTTCAATGGGGATATATACAGGTAGAAGTCACACTGTCTGTTTACCTGACTTTGTCATGTGTTAAGCAACAAAATCAGGGCTTAATAAGGTTAACTGGGGGGACACCTTTATGATCTTCCACTCTTTTTGAAAAGGTAGATAAGTTAGCCCCTCTCTGTAGAACTAAGCATCATTCCATTCCATTCCAAGATGCATGTGCATACCAAGTGTCAAGGTCCTGTATGTTATATAGATGAAGATGTGTTAGTTCTAATGCAAAATAAGGTCAAAGGTGAAAATTGTTGTTGAAATTTCACTGCTGTGACATGTACACCCTGCCTCCCCATGATTAACTAAAGTTAGTGGACAAATGCAGCAGTTCATCAGTTGTCGAGTCGGACATGACATTACCATTGGGACTGATAGGGATACCTTTGGCTACTCTTCCTGAAAGTAAGAGCACACATCCAAAGTAAGTTATACCTTTCCTGTAGAAGATAATTCCTGATCTTGGGCCACGTAGTGTCTTGTGGGTTGTGGTTGTTACAATGTCACAATATTCAAATGGATTTGTAACAAGGCCTGCAGCAACTAAACCACTGACATGGGCCATGTCTGCAAGCAAGTAGGCATCGTTCTCATTGGCAATCTCACGAAACCGTTTGTAGTCAAGGTTTCTTGAATAGCAACTCACACCTGTATGTGAATATAAAAAAAATCCATCAGATGTTAAGTGATTTCAGATTTTCATTTTTTTCTAAATATATTTCTGCCCTCAACTTATCCAGAGCTCTTCTTTAACTATTAACTTGACTGCTCGATTTTAAAAATGACAAATAGACCTAAATACAAACTACAAAGGAATTTCTTCCAGTGACATAGCAATAACTAGAATTTTGTTTTTGTGAACAAAAACATGTCTCCCCTTATTAGCCAATAGAAAAATTAACAAAGGGCCATATCGCTTTATAAAGTGGGGCACGAGACCCGTGTTTAGAATGCAACACTCCTACTTCCCAAGATACATTAAAATGTTCGCAAGTTTGGTCAACGTAGGTGAAATAACATGGAAGTTATGCCGTGGACAAACTTCGGTATTTAAATTAAACAAAGAGCCATAACTCTGTATATAGTGATGCACGAGACCTAATTCCAGTGCACTGCACACCTTCTGTGAGTGATGCAGGTATCCTTTAAGTTTGATTAAGATGTCTTTAATGGATTAGAAGTTATGCTGTGGACAAACTTCGGTATTAAAAATAAACAAAGGGCCATTACTCTATATATAGTGGGGCATAAAATCTGATTTTAGTGCGACAAATTCCGCCTTCCCAAGATGCATAAATATGGTAAGTATGGCAAATGTAGGTGAAATAACATAGAACTTATGCTCCGGACAAACTTCGGTATTGAAATTAAACAAAGGGCCATAACTCTGTATAAAGTGGGGCACGAGACCTAATTCTATTGCACTGCACACCTTCTGTGGATGATGCAGATTTAATTCAAGCATGATCAAGATATCTTTAACGGAAAAGAATTTACTGAAAATGTTCACGTATTTGACCTTGAGTTGAAGGTCACAGTGACCTAATTCCAGTGCACTGCACACCTTCTGTGGTTTATGCATGCATACCTAAAGTTTCATCAAGATATCTTCAACAGTTTAAAAATAATGGCCCAGACAAGTTTGATTAGAAGAACCAGAAGAAGAACCAGTACTAATACAATATGTCTCCCTTCATTCGAAGTGTAGACATAATTATTTTGACAGGTTCGACACATATTCAAAGAACACAGAATTTGTAACAAAAAGTTGACGAATAAAGAAGGAAGATGACACAGATATACAATATGTATTGTTGAGAATAATTTTTCATACATGTTAACCTATTTTAAAGGCAATATTAATGCGGTCAGAAGAAAACAGAATTTCTTTTGTACACATGCATAGCCAACCATTGGAACCCTTTTTAATTAAAAAAGAACCTGGATGTATTTTTCAGACACCTGCCCAATTCTAAAAGGTATTTTTCGTAATTTTGAAACCGCCAAAAATAAATCTGGAATTTCCATTTTCTGTAAGAAAGAAGATGTATTACAAAGCCATTTAATTAATTTGATAGCGAGATGATGACCATGGAATGGTTAATGACACCTAAAACTATATGTCTAAAACTTTGTTTTCTTTCTCAAGCAGTCCTTATATAAACATGTTTGACATTACAATATGAGGTATTCACCTGCTACAATCATCGTTGGAAGAAACATTTTAGCGTTTTCATGGAGGCGGTCATAATCAATGAGTCCGGTAACAGGATTAACTTTGTAAGGGAAGGACTCAAAGTAAACAGATGTAGCAGATATCTTTTTGGATGGTGTCATGAAGCCATGGCTGAGGTGACCTCCATCAGGTAGATAAAGCCCCATGATGCGACCATGAGGCCCAACCAGGGCAGTGTATACTGCAAAGTTGGCAGGTGATCCCGACAGTGGCTGCACATTCACACCCCATTTGGCAGGGTCTAATCCATAAGTTTCCAGGGCCCTCTTCTGGCACAACAGCTCTATCTGGTCAATAAATTCATTACCACCATAGTACCTGAAAATTTAATAAAACAAATTTGGTCAAAGACAAAAAATATTTGACACAAGGAGTGCAAATGACATGGTTATAAAATTTAATATCAATTGCAAAATATTCTCATTGCAAGTATATCTTTATTTCAAATATGTTCCAGTATTTCAGGCTTTGTCTTTCAGCATCCAGGAGGAAAATACCCTTCTTTTTATGGAACATCTGATTACCATGTCCCAAGAATGCTCCATTGCCTGCATAAAGTTTGTTCAAATAAATGGCCTTGACAGACTCGACAGGTTTTTGCCACCAGTGATGTTGAAAATGGGCCAAGATCATTCATGTAAGCCAATTTGAAAGCCTCTTGCTTCAGCATTCTGATGGCCCTATGCTTATAAACAAGCTTATAAATTAATCAGAAAAATATTTACCAGCAAGAAGATTTTACTCATGTGACCTTGATTATATATAGATCAATGTCATTTCTTTAACCAACAAGATAGCAGACCATACAACAGGTTCTGTACTATAATGGCCACATATCATGACTCTTGCTGTCTCTTAAGAAGCTATTTGAGTGGTTTAATAGATATCATATGATACATGTGATCTTGAATATGTCAAGGAAATTTCTTATTCAAATGTTTGTAGCAATCATATATCAAGCAAGCTACATGTCAGATATCATGACTCTTAGGCTCTTGGTGTTTTAGAACAAAGCTGTTTAATTGTTAATAATTTTTAACCTCAGTGACCTTGAATAAATGTTGGGGTCATTTTTTCTTCTTCCAAACTTACATGTAGTAGCAATTTGCTCAGAATTCCTGACCAAATATTAAGACAATTGGCACCTTGGTCATTCTGAATATGTTTGAGTGTTTAAACATTCAAATAAATCGCATTTGTAATTAGCCTTGTGGTTCTTAAGAAGAAGAGGTTCAATAAAAAGTTTACAAATGGATGACAAGTGACAAATGATGGACTGCAATGGATTGTGGTAGCTTCACTTGACCCTTTGCTCAGCTAACATGGTGTATTTTCATGATCATGAAATTTTTTGACCAACTGACCTTTGACCTGGCTGACCCTCAGAGTACTTGTTTGTCAAGCATGATCCTAAAGCTTGGTGAACAGCCTTGCTGGTGAAATTCTCCGAGGCAATCAGTTCCAGTCCCCTTCTCTGTCGGTCCTTCTCATTCACTATTATCTGTGCGATCTCGGGATCCTCTTCCCTGATATCAGTGGTCATATTCCAGTGATCTCCCATACCATTCATGTTCTTTTTACAGTCAGGGTTTCACCTTCTAGATAAATACAGTTATAACACAATTACAGTATAATTATATAAAGAAATCCTAAATTGTCACCCGACAGTCTGAAACTCTCAATTGACCCAGATCAGTGATGTAATTTTACCGCATGCGCGTCACCAACAAGGCCAAATGTAAACATCGCGGCGAAAGAAAAAGATGCATGCAAAAGTCATGCCAGGCACGAGGTATCAATACCGTTATATATAACAACAACATATAGGTAGGAATAATACACTTGCATCATACATGACCTTTAAAAACAATTATTTAAGTATAGTATTGCTGTCTTGTCCGCTGGTTGAGTCGGACATGGCTGATAGCCGGCGTGCTATTGTTGTTAGCTTCACTGCCTCACTTTCGAAACAATCACGTGACATATATAAATAGATCTGCGCTAAATTTACACGGGGCTTCCCCGAGATTTCAGTGGTCAAAACTGAACATTGCAAGCAGATCTCAACTATCATATTGCCATGGTATAACTTTTGGAAGGCCAGAGAACGCATTTAGACCCATTTATTTTGTATTTTTTTTCCCGACCAGACCCTTTAAACATTAATCCTAATTTCCCCGCCCGCCACTTTGCCCCCTAAAAGCAACCTTCTATTTATACAAAATTGAGTCCCCTTTGCCCAAGGATGCTCTATTCAATTTGATGAAAATCCCTCCAAATAAACTGAGGGAGAAGGATTTTAATCCTTTATTAATATTTTCCCCTTACTGGACCCTTCCCATTAGCTCCCAGGGGTCCACATTCTCTGTTAAAACAAACTGAGTCCCCCTTGCCAAATGATGTTCTGGATGCTCTCGCACTTGGATTCAAACCTCAAATTCCCCTATTGGTCCCCGCCCCTCAGCACCCAAAGGGGATACACTATCTGTTTATAAAACAAGAGGCCCAATGGGCCTGCATCGCTCACCTGGTATTCATCTCAAACTTTTAATCTTAATATTCAGGCCTAATATCAGTACCCTTGGCCTTTTGGTTATAGAGAAGTCGTTTGAAGATTTTAAGACATTTGACCCATGTGACCTTGAAAGTTGGTAAAGGTCATTCATTTGAACAACTTGGTAGCCTTTCATCCCAGCATGTTACGGGCCCAATATCAGTACCCTGGGTCTTTTGGTTATAGAGAAGAAATTGTTTGAAGGTTTTAACATATTTGACCCCTGTGACCTTGAAAGTGGGTCAAGGTCATTCATTTGAACAAACTTGTTAGCCCTTCATCCCAGCATGCTACTGGCCAAATATCATCAGCCTGGGCCTCTTGGTTATTCAGAAGAAGTTGTTTAAAGTAAAAAGATGACGATGGACCAGGCGAGCTAAAAATTAGCCCCCTTTCCTCAAGGATGCTCCAGGCCAAATTCAGTCAAAATTTAAAAAGCTGTTCAAGACTAGTAGCGCTTTAATGAAAATGTTAATTGGTGGATGGATGCACTCTGTGGTACAGCTCACCATGGTCCTCTAGACTAGTGCGTAAGTCTGTGACGTCATGTACTTGTCCTTGGCGTAACGTCACAATTGAAAGAATTGAAACTTACAACCAATCACAGAGCTGATAGGTGATATTACATCGGTTAATATTCACTGGATAACACAGTACATTATGTGATAAATATAAATGAGACAAGAGGGCCTGTATCACTCACCTGAATAATTAGCAGTCAAAGTAAATATTCTCATTAAATATTATATTGTACTACAAATTTGTCACTCGCAAACTTTGTCGGCTCCATCTGTCGAAACTACCAGTCAAATATTATAACAAGATTTTATGCTTCTTTGCCATCAATATTCTATAAAAGTAATTTGAAATATTTCCCCCCCCCCCCCCACCGAGACCTTGTAAGTATGTCAATTCATTTTCCTATTCAAACTTTTATAGTTTTATCATAAGAAGCTACCATTCAAATCTTAGGAATCCATTCCTTTTGGTTCTTCAGAACAAATCCTTTGAAATGTTTTTGACCTCTGTGACATTTAAAGTAGGTTGAGGTCATTTTAATTTGCAAAATTTGGTGAGCTCTATCCCAAGAAGCCACTAGCCAAATATTATAATTTTATGCCTTTCCATTTTTTTTTTCAGAAGAAGTCACTTGATGTTTTTAACATATTTGACTGCTGTGACCTTGAAAAAAAGTCAAATTCATTTTCATTCTCAAACTTATCCGAGGAAGCCAACAGCCAAATATACTGAGCAAAAACAGAAACGCACAAAGTTCCCCCCTGCAGTACACCTTAGCTGTAAAGAAATAATGGAATATTTGGTCAGGTATTACATCAGGAACGATCTCCCTTCTCAACAATCTACCCTAAAATCAGCCAAGCGTGACGATGTCATTGTGTGACTTTGTGAGCTTCTTTAGTCCAAATCATGCGGCGTGATCAAGCCAAGCCGGGGTTTTTCAAACAAATAATCTCAACGGATACTCTAAGTTCGGCCACATTAATTTTACACGTTGGCATTTTGATTTCGCCATGGACCGAGATGCCATGCTTAACGCAAATTAAGAGGGGTAGAGCAATTGCGATGTTAATGGATGGTCATAGCCAAACGGCTGTTGCGCGGCAGTTTGGTGTTGGCCCGTGTACAATTAACTGTCTCGTTTCTGTGCTACTGGGTTAGTTTCCGATCGTCCCAGGAGCGGTCGTCCGCGTGTAACGACCGCACGACAAGACAGGGCGATTTGATTGTCGCACTTGCACAACAGATTCAAGACTGCTGTAGAGACTGTGTCTCATACCTTAAGTACTCAAGGCAGATCCATTAGTCCTCAAACTGCCAGGAACCGCTTGCGTGCCGAGAGAATCATTGCGCACGGACCTCATGTCGGGCCAGCTCCGACACCACAGAGGCGGCAAGTGCGTCTTGACTGGATGCGCAGACATGGCCCGAATAGGTATGGGATGGGTCGATGGAGGCGAGTGATGTTCACCGACGAGTCTAGATTTTGTCGGTATTGCTCAGACGGAAGAAAAAGGGTATATCGGTATATATGCGTGGTTGAACGCGATAGATTTGGTGGGTCTTCTGTAATGGTTTGGGGAGGCATCTCCCATGGAGTAAAATCCCTCTTAGTAAATAGTGGTCCTGGATCAAAACCTCAATGCCGTTCGATACAGAGACTAAATCCTCCAACCACATGTCCTTCCACTTCTCAGATGTCATAACCTAATTTTCCAGCAAGACATACTCGACCGCATGATGCCAGAGTCTGTCATGATTTTCTCACGGCAAACAACGTTCAGCCTCTGGAATGGCCCCCATATAGCCCGGGCATGTCTCCAATTGAGCATCTGTGTGATGAGCTGGACAGGCGTATTAGGAAACGTCAAAACCCCCCAACTAACCGCGCCCAGTTGATCGCAGCATTAACGCAAGAATGGAACAACATCCCCTTAAAACGAATAAATGTTCTCATGAATTCAATGCATAGGAGAATCCGTGCAGGGATTCGTGCAAAAGGTGCCCACACCAGGTACTGAAGTGTCATTTTGTTTTTCGCAGGTATCCCACTTTGAGTAACTACTGATGACACGAGTGATGTCGCACAGACTTTTCTCCTACAGTATTGTAAAGAGTAGACTTTTCCCTTCATATTGATATACAATTTTGTACAAATTTCCCAAACTATCATAGGCTATTGATTGCATAATTTAATTGTGCGTTTCATTTTTTTTAGTATATAAAGATTCTATACCTTTTGGTTCTTCAGAAGAAGTCGTTTAAAGAGTTTGACATATTTGACTACTGTGACCATGTAATCCAGTCAAGGTCATTTTCATTCTCAAACTTTGTCAGGCTCTATCCCAAAAAGCCACCACCCAAATATAAAGATTCTATACCATTTGGTTCTTCAGGAGAAGTCATTTAAAGAGTTTGACATATTTGACCCCTGTGACCTTGAAAGCAGGTCAAGGTCATTTTCATTCTCAAACTTTGTCTAGCTATATATATATATATAATTTAGTCCGATCCTGCCCCGTTCCTTTAATTGCGATTCTTTAATCAAATATATCTTATACCCGATAAGCTTATGATATGAACATATAAATTATTGTGAAAAACGTCTATATATAATTTAGTCTCTGATCCTGCACCGTTCCTGCTATTGCAATTCTTTAATCAAGTATATTGTAAACCCGATAAGGATAATTAAATATACATAATATATATATATATATAAATATAATTAAGTCTGATCCTGCCCCGATCCTTTAATTGCAATTTCTTTAATCAAATATATTTTATACCCGATAAGCTTATGATAATTAAATATACTAGCGGAAAAAAAAGAAACTGTGCATGCATAAAATATGTTATAAAAATAAATGTGTATGACGTAGAACAACAAGGACTGACGGAAACACAGCAGGGGTCAATACTGAGTTCACAAAGTTAATACCTTGTATGTCCACTGTTTGCCTGAATGCAAGCCTGGTAACGTCGATGCATGGAGAATATCAGAAGGTTCAAGAATGCTTGTGGGATGGCATTCCAGATCTGTACCAACGCTGCAGGCAAATCAGCCAACATCATCGGGTGATTAGGTAATGCCCGTAATCTGCGCTTCATTTCATCCCAGGGGTGTTCAATGGGCGACAGATCGGGGGATACAGCAGGCCAGGGTAACATGTCAACGTTCTGCTGGGCCAGATAGTCCATAGCGACATGAGCTGTGTGTGGCCTAGCTAATGTTACGTTGCTGCCCTTGGTCCGGAGGATCTTGTCACGGTAACGTAGCGCATTCTCCCGTTGGCTGTGATGCCGCCCCAAATTATAACGCTGCCTCCGCCGAAAGAACGTCGTTGTACCATACACGCGTTGCGGAAACGTTCTCCAATGCGACGATACACTCTGGAACGGCCGTCACTACTATCCAGGTGGACTCGCGACTCGTCCGTAAACAAAATGCCTGTCCAATCCTGTCGAGTAAATCACAGATGCCTTCTGCACCAGTCCAGACGTGCTACACGATGACGTGGCAGAAGAACTAGGCGGATTGCAGGACGTTGCATACACAGTTCCTATTTTTCCGCCAGTATATATATAATATACATATATAATTAATCCGAACCTGTAAATCATCACCCTTTCCTGCCCGATCCATATCTATACAATACGCTTAATTAGTTGCAATTCTTTCATCAAATATATCTTATACCCGATAACGATACTTAAATATATCTAATATACATATCTTATACCTGATAAAAAAGATTTAATACTACAAATATAGGTCTCATATGTAATAACGACATAGAATTATATATATAATTTAGTCCGATTCTGCACCGATCATGTAATTGCAATCCTTTTATCAAATATATCTTATACCCGATAATGATAATTAAATATATCTAATATATATATTTATTTATATATCTAAATATAATAATTAATATATTTCTGCCTGTTCCTGTAAATCGTCGAACCCTGATAAACCACTCATTGTTTTACAGCTTTGATTGCTATTAATGACACATGGAAGTAATCTTATTTCAACTATTGTAATAAGTTTTTAAAACTTTTTAAACTTGTTTTTATATAAAAAAAAAAATGCCTGGCTCCCTTTTCAGAGGCACTGACAGTTGTATATCATGTTCATGACGTATTAGTAAATCAAATTTACAGCTATCTTTTATATATAAGTAATTATGTTATGTAAAACAAATCTTATAATCATATAGCACTGTACAATACCTTAAGGTCGAATGAGTGTATTGATAAACAGAAATAGGAAGTACATCCCAAGTTGAAAATCCAATGTAGGGAGACAGTATCACAATTTCCGCATATTTTAATGTTTAATCTTAAACTGATGATTAATGTATGTTTATTATTGACAGAACAGTGTGTTCTCTCAATATTAAAGTATTTCAAAGCAATCCCGTCATTAATTCAGTTGTTTTTTATCAATGAGTCACATGCATGTGTCCTTTCTTCTGTACTTCAGGAAACTGGCTACCTTTTTTCACTACTGTGAAGTTTTTCAAGAAAGATAACTCTTACCAGGTCCAGTACACTCTGCCGATTGAGCTATATAGCTGTAAAGACCTATAATAGCTCTAATGACCTATCTGAAATAGGTCTTTTGAGCTATTTTCATGTGATTGTCTTCTTTAGGGAAAACGAAACAAAGTCGCTTTTAAAAGAAGATTTTATCATTAGGTTGATAACAAAAGACATTAAATATAAGTATTCTTTTTAAAATATAATGATGTAAAAAAATCGGAAATTTTACATTTATAAAAAATGAAAATATGCATCTAAATGTATGCTTTTTGTAGTCAACATTACCATAAACCCTATTGTTTTATGCGACTTTGCTTTAATTTAATGAAAATTGAAATCTTACAAAATATAGCTCAATACAGCTATAACTTATAGGCGAATATAGCTATATATATAGGTCATCATAGCTCAATCGGCAGTGTACTGGACCTGCTTACATACAATTATTATGTGTATATATATGTTTATATCATAAAATGTCAATTTTTAATTGTTCATAGATCATTTATTTTACTCAATTTCAGCATTTATTAAATTGATATACCTTAATGCAAAACTAATCTATGGCAGTTTCATTTTTATTGACATTATATTGCAAAAAATTGTGTCTTTCATTTTTTTTCTTCAAAATTCACTCCTTTTTACATTTATTTCCATTTAAAATCTTTAAAATTCTGAGAACCTAAACTTTTTTGTGGCAGAAAATTTTCTTAACTTCAAAGCAATATAACTACAAAATCTACTGAGAGATGGTGACATAAACCTATTACCTTAAATCATATCTGTATATTATGTAATTAAGTGTTGAAATACAAAATATCATTTAAAGAAAAAAATCAAATTACAAAAGCAGTAATAGTATTCTTCACGTGTCTTTAATTGTATCTCTGTTGTAAGTAATAGGGGTGTGTCACATGTAAGACTATCCTTATACAGCTGTACAGTACCTTAAAAAAAATGTAAGTTTTATGTAACATCTTTATGAAGTCATATATAAGTTATATAAAATCGTGCGACTTATTTTGTGTTCGTACAACACTGCATGGGTAGATGATGTTGTTTACTAAGCCTAAAAAGCGCATCAAAATCATTGTCAAGTTAATTTACTCCTCTCATTATCATATTAAGCTAAAACAAGATTACGCGACATTAAATTAATGTCAACAAAATAAACTTACAGTGTGATAAACGGCTTTGTGTTCCCGGCCGGTGTGTGTCTGAGCTCTCCTCTGCACCATGAAGCAAGAAGAATGTAGAAGCCGTTTTCCCGGGTTTTATAGACTTTACAACGAATCAAACACTGGTTTACATTATCCAATGACATGAATGGTTACAAAAATATAACAAGCGGCGCGTTCGAATTAATACCTTAATGGGTTTTCTTTTACCATGTTATATATCAATTTTCCAGAGGAAACATTTTTCCAATTAGGACTAAAAACCTTATACAATCTATTTAAGTCGTGAGACAGAACTAATGTCTTTTACACAGTGAGAGACAGCAAAAGCGGTATCTATCACAATGTGAAAATATCTCTTTTAGTTACTCTTATAAAAGCAACAACAAATTTAAATGTTTTTACAGTATATGATAAGGTGCAACGCACGGGCTTGGCTGTGATATAGTGACATTTTATCAAAATGAACAAATTGCTGTAGTTTAGACTGAATTTGCCTTGCATAACAATATGAATATATATAAAAACAAGGACAAAGTCATTCAGGAGACAAAAAGGATTCGTTTCAACAAATTTTATTGGACAAAAAATTACACAATTGGATAAGACAACAGGCTTTCTCCTATCCGGTATTAATTGACAAGAAGCNGGGGGGGTCCAAATTTCCAGGGGGGTTCCATGTGGGGGGAAATTGAGGAAAATGGTGAAAATACATGATTTTTAAAGAAAATTCTCAGGCTGGGAGGGGTTTCCTGAAGCCCCCCAAAAAACTCTGGATCCGCCACTGGACGAATAAAGGAGAGATATAATAATTCTAAAGATTTCCTATCAATTTTTTGTTTTAGCATAAAGGATAGAAAAAAAAAGACAGAAAGGATGTTTAAAAGAAGTTTACATTACCAAAAACATTCGAGATATTTTCCCAGTTCTGAGGCATTTGCTTTTTATCTATATTAATTGATATTAAAAGATATTTTGACTGTATGCATCAAAGCTACATAATGTTTAATGGTTGGATCTAAATTTGTAGATGAATTTATAATATTTCGTTTCCAGTCGACTGTACAGGATAAGGCAATCCTTTTCAACCGACTAGAAAATATCTCTACAACACATAGCACATACATATTTATATGTTCAATAAATCAACAAAGATATCGTATTCGAGTATGTCCGGTATATAGAGGAGCCAAATGGATCCTGAAGTCGAAAATAAACGCTTAATAATTTTATTGGTGTGCTTCCTTGTTGTTTGCATCAACAGTTTTTATCTCCCCTGGTACGATTGTAAACAGGAAGTAGCAGGTGCGCGAGTTGAAAATATTTGACGAATAGCTTTCTTCGCAACCTGAAAAATTTAGCTGCAGTTCAAAAACATCACGCAGTCATGTCGTTTAAAGACTTGAGAAGTAAGTGTTCAATTAGATGCCAAAACTGTCACTATTTGTTCAAACTATTCCTCTTATATTTACAAAAGTGGTAGAAAAGTTTCCATGTATTGGTTACTGCGGGAGTTCCTGTCTGCTGTCAATAATGTTCGGTTGTGAGTTGCATTTATATGGGCCTAAATATGTTGAACCTATGCAATCACTGATTATAAGTATTTAGATTTGTATCATGTAAATTTCTGTTCTAACAGGACAACTTCAAAAATGATTTGTTTTCACAAAATCTCAAAAAAACGTACATATTCTGTTTCGGTTAGGATTTTTTAAAGACAGGTTCTGGAGCACCGGGAAATCTGTATATATATAGGCAGATTTGACTATACATGTATTTAGATTGATACTGAGGTCTGGTCCTATCGCTAGAGATTTAGCAGGTTGTTTCGCCCCAAATCCTGTTCGCCCTAAGGGTTGTTTCGCCCCAAATCCCGTTCGCCCTAGGTTGTTTCGCCCTTAAAAAATGTTTTCGTAAGTCATAAATATCATGTTAAAAGTTAACAAACTTATCTTTCTCGTGAATCAAGATATAATTACGTGCCGGAAGATAAAAAACGAACCTGTATATTCATCACCGAAGCCGACAACGGACATACTAATATCCGGAATGTACTGCATATTTTCATTTCATTACCTTAATTAAGTAATGTTGTTCTTTATAAAATGCACCTGTTCATGTTTTAACATTAAAAATGTAAAATAGTTATACTTGTACAACTTCTATAATATAAACAATTAAAAAGCACCCTGTCACGTCAGCCACTTTATATCAAACATATTTGACTATATGGACATATAATGAAAACATACATGCCATATCTAACGATTTTGGCGTGAGACTCACAAACATTGCTTCCAAAAAATCCTCACGGCGTGAGACACATTTCTCAGGAATTTCAATTGGTCTCAAGAAAAAAAAAAAAGGTCAATCTTAGTGAATAAACAATAGCTACATGGATTCACACTGACCTAGGTCACCAAGAGGTCTGAAGTCACATGCCAGCCACTTAAATGACAGACTAGGCCAATTAGCAGCATAGGTGTGAAAGTTTGGAACGCCCCGGCCGGCCAATTAAGCAGTGCATGGCTTGGTGACTTGCTAACCGATGTGTGAACTGTCAAGCAATTAAATCAGTGATCCCACATCCAGTGGGGGCTTGTTGCTAATTATTATGTGATGACACTTGATATAAACATTAAACAGCAACATAAGAGCTGTTAACTCATTACAACCGAAAACATGCATGGTTTACCCAAACTAAATTGATTTCTCTAAGTACAATACTTATAATATATATAGATAAGATATGGACATATAATGAAACTAAATTAATTTCTCTAAGTACATAGATATGTATACGAAATAGACATAGATTAGGTACAAATTACGTATAAGAATGAAAATAAATTAATACTGCCTTTAGAGACGTATACGAAATGTAAATAATTCCCCAGGTACATAGATTT